AACGTACTTATATTATTTAATTTATACTGAATGTACCTTTCACAGACATTGCGTGCCTTTCCCTGATCATTCGAGCGCAAACCAATGATATAGTATTTAAACGAAGATATATAATGCAACTTGACTTACAAAGTAATTTCTCCCTCAACTAGTATCTTCCCATCGCCCGTCTATATTCTGAAATTCAGTAAATAAGAAAAACGATATCGGTTCCTTAACATTCGCTCACATTTCTTGATAACTGAACAATAGAATAAACCCTGAATTATTTTTAACATTGAGTTAGAACATCAATTTCACCAGTATTGCCTAATAAAGCACGGTAGTAAATTTTTATTGTATCACCGAGTTTCAACAATTTGAAGAAGCGTAATCATGTTTATTCTATTTGAATAGAGGGCCGTAAAATTTTGCATTTTTATAGCGACAGTGACACTACGGTGCCACTTCAGTACCTTGTTTCTAAATTAGCTTAAGGAGAACGTTAGGCACCTGTTTACTTTGTTGCATGGCGAGATAAATAAATGAATATTCTGGAAACATATTCTTTTGTTTCTTCGGTTTGTTACACTGTCTGCAATAAGGTGATAGGAAAAGAAAATTTCGTCAGATTCCCTCTGTAATTAGCGCACAGAGATAATGTTTGTTTCGAAACTTTTCAAGACTCTTCTAAAGGAGCTTAGTGATAGTAAACATCTCAATTTCAAAAATTCTGAATTTCTTATTTCCGTCTCTGCCTGAGAGACTATTGGAATTGCAGTGCCATCTTTTAAATTATATCCGAATTTTTGGATCACTGACTGAACTTAGAGCGCGTAATCTTTTTTAAAATAGTGCATGGCCACGAAATGTACCAGAGGATCTACAAACACAGAAAAATACTCGCAAGTCTTTCCGGACTGGAGAGACCAAAACAGAATTATTCCTTACAATATCGAAGGATTTGATTTTATACATAATTCTTACAGCTGAAATTTTGAGAAATATAGCTGGGAGAACTGTTATTTAGATTTTAGAAGCGGAGGAGGCTGCTCTGTTACTAAGAGAATTATATTCTTTTGCCGTTACTTAACTGAAAATTGCGCTTATGAAAAAACATTTTGAAATTGAATTCATCTTGACTAAAACGAAGAAAACTTCGGAAATAAAAAAAAAATGATCAAAATGAAGATTTTTGGGATCGAGAGGCCAAGTTCTAAAATCGGCAGTGAAGTGCATGAAAGGTTTACTAGCGGCCGGTCCTAAACGATCAAATTTGGAACGCCATGCATCAACGAGAAACTGGAAGTATGTTACAAGCTAGTTGAGCAACCTACGCCGGAACATTATAAAAGTTACAGGATTTTGCAACCCCTTGTAAAAATTCCACGGCGAAATGCACATGAGGTCCCGGGAGGGTCATGAACGAAATTATGAAAATAACGACGTCAGCCTAACTACCCCACTGACACAAATTTAAAAACTTTGTAAATGTTGCATCTTCTTTAAATCCTAGCCTTACCTGGGTCTTGATTTTAGTGTAGTTTTCAAATATTTCAATAAATACAATGAGAGGTAAGTTTGAGGTCTCTGCGAGCCTCGGGTAATTAGTCCCATAATAGAGACAATAACTTGTGTTATTAACAGAGAAAAATTATATTAAATACCTTTGTTGGTTAGTTTATTACATATCGATCCCAAACTTCAATGCAAAGTTAAGGGTTAATAGGGTTCTATTTTTGAAGCAAAGGCGAAGACTCCTTTCTAGCTGGTCATTTTTTATTAATGCTTTTGCATTTACTTTAATTTTTACCTACACATCAGCATATTATGAAAAAAAGGATTAATAATGTGCTCTGTCACTTCACTTTGCGTTGATGAATTAGCGTTAATCACACCACTTTCCACTCACTGAAGCGTGTCTGTGAGCGCAAAATTCAACCAAGCATATCACTAGTGAGTTACATTTTATCACCATAGCCGCACTGAATCCTGTTTAGATGGTTTTTCTTTGCGAATATCTTGAGAGTATTTATCACGGGAGAGTGATCTCGGTTTCTCACAGTTTTATATGTGTAATTTGTTATTTTTTTGAAAATAAATTATTCTGGCGGGAAAACTCGTTCATGCAGAAAAAAATAGATCGAGACCTTCACCGAGTGTGATAAAGAGTCGTAAAAAAAAAGTGTACTTCAGTTAATTAATTCGACCTCCCTACACACACACACACTGCTCTTACAGTGAACAAGAGGTCATCAAGGCTGTTGCTGTGCTGGTAAGTACGTCTTGAAATTTCGTGGGAGACGTACAATAATATTATTGATAGCTATAAAAAAAATCCTTGCGGTGAGTGTGTCAGACCGTTGCAGTTGAGAGCTGTTTATCAGTGGAGGTCCGCCTGCTTGTATATTTAGAACCCTCTACAGGAAACGAGACGATATAAACCAAAAACTGAAAACTACATGTTATCATTAGCCTGTCGCGTAGTGTGGTGCATTTTACCGTGTACAAAATGGAGATTTTGGCAGGCTGAATTACATTTTAGCCCGCTCTTACGCTTGCGTTATTGTTGAGACTGAATTTTTCAGTTCATAATTTCTCAATGCCCCCCGGAGTTGTAATAATAGTAATACAGTTCACGTTCTTTGGCGTAAATACGCTTTGGACCCTTCTCAGAGTTCATTTTAACCCTCACATAATAGCTCGCGCTTAAATGACCCTCAGTCGGGCCCAAAACATAATTAATGCCCGCCAACATAAACTCTATGAGCTGGTTTTTTTAAACGAAGTTTAGCCGTTGTTTAAACTGCGTCCTAAATATTCCTCAATTTAGCTGGACCTTGTATCTGAACATTTATTTTTGTGAATAGAGTTAAGACAGCCGAAAGCTAACAATTGAAGGATATCTACTTAATTAAGTCGACCCTCTTACACAGAAAACCGAAGGCCCTCTGATTTCGTAAAACCATGGTTCGGCTGAGACCTCGTGTTAATTACCGGCCCTATTGGTGAAGAATTAAAAGACGCACCGAGTGCATTGCTGAGTTCTATAAGCACGCGGGAATTTTTAAGAACACGAGAGAAGTGCTTCTCGCACTTGTCGAGTGTTCTTAACAATGCTCAACAAGTGCTCAACAATGGCTCAACAATGCTCGAGGAACAAGCTTTTTTTTTTTTACTTCTTTCATAAAATGTATTGTCAATTGCGCGCGCTTGTACCGATGTAGGCTGCGTACATTATATCTCAACAGTGCACTCGTGTGACGTAAGGCGCGTGCTTCATTATAAACATAACGAACTCGTTCTTACCAATCATGGCGCGCGCATTTCTCTAAATATTTCATAATGTATAGATATGTTATTTGCCGGTTAAGGGTCGGTCCGTATGGTGAAAAACTGTGACCGAGGTCTTCAAAATACTGCAGCATTTTGTGTGCACGATTAAAGTTAATTGCAGACGGGTTTTAGGCCGCTTGCCAACCAACGTAATGATACTATTGTTTATACAAATTCATTCTGAAACCAATATTTTTCTGTCAACCAAAGTGATTTGAGTGAGAGAAAAGAGAGGATTCATAAGTTATTCATCGGCTTGAGGTAGTGACCGACGTGTTTGCTTAAAAACACTACCCAGCCGGAAAAACAAGATATATTTATGAAAAATGGAAACGAAAGGATGCACTCGGCGACTCACGAAAGCGTTACCGTGGCCAGTGGGCAGAGATAGGAAAATACTGACCGGGTTAGGAACCAATCAGATTGCAAGATTCGTTACCGTGCCCTCTCAAAAAAAAATAATATAAGATATTTTGCCACGTACAGTCTGCATGATTCTTCTCGCGTGTCATGAGTCGTACGCAGGTCGTATCGTGGCTAAGTTGTTACATGTCGCGGGTGAATAATTCATGTAACAAATTATGTAAATAACAATGCGATCATCCCTTGTCTTGCTTAGAGCAGTTAAGCAAAGCGTAACATACTCGGGAAAGGTGACAGCTAGGTAGCCCTATAGAAGCTAAAAAAATAAAAAAAACAAATAATTCTGATATCAGATAGAAACTGGCTGTTAAGGAAGATTTTGGCTGTCCGACAATCCTTGTAATCCAGCCTTTATAAACCTGTAGAAGGATGCGACTGTTCTATAGATAGATAACCGTTAAACAAAAAGTTTCAGTAATTTTTTCCACAACCGGATTCCGATGGCGTAAATAAAATGAAATAAAATAAAAAAGCAATACATTTGTGTTAGTAGGTGTGAATTATCTTTTGGGCGCGTCACACAGTCCTTTCAGCCCGAGCCGCTGAGCGAGGGTTAAACAGATATTTCTGCCGAATGACTTAACACTGAGTTACTATTATTGTTATAATTGTTATCACTTTGGAGAGCACTGAGTGTGAACAATCACGTAAACAAGCGACCGATCTGTAAAACATTTTAGCCCGCCAAAAAACTTTAGTCCAAAAAATGCGCAGCTGTGCCCGGAATAGGCATTAAAGGCGTTTAAGGCGAAACTCACGCAACAGAACCTGCTACCAGGCTTAGCAGACGACGGTTGACCGTCGGTGACCGGTTTTTATTGAACTCGGCGCATATGTCAAAACGCTTGTTCCTAACTGTTCCTTTCTCCAACATGTTTGAGTGGATAGTCTATTTACTCTTTTGATCATCCATTAATTTTTTTTCTTGATGGGAAAATCAAAGTAGACAAATGACGCGCTGATATACATGGAATGACGGTCGCAAAATTTTCACACGTACTTCCTTGATCAGTAAATTAAAGTAAAATATCATTAAACACCTTCAGGCTTCTTCACTTTTCACGTTTCTTAACGGTATGTTACGCGAAAATGCTAATCTTAACTGACGGCTCAACCAGTAAATCTTCTCTTATCGCTTTTTCGTTTTACAGCTACGCGTCCATCTCTAACAGATAGGCTTAAGCGTAACGTATCAACCCTGAATTCTAAGTGACGTGAACAGAACAGTCAGAGGTGAACACCAAACGAGGTACAAACCACACATGGAATACGAAAAGCTGGAAGCGGAACCGGAAGAAAGAACTTCAATCTGTGGTAGACTAACGTTTGGCTTTTTATCGAGTATTATCGAAACAGGAAACAAACGACCTCTAGAGGAGAACGACATTCCTTCCCTAGATGTTGAAAGCACCAAGTATTTGGCTGAAAAACTGGAATTAGAATGGAAAAACGAAGTTGAAATCGGTAGAGTCCGAAGTTCTAAACCTCGTTTGAGAAACGCAGTCCTAAGGGCCGTCGACAAATACTTACTGTCTCTGATTGTACTACTAGCAATTTTAGAGACATTATGTACAATGATTCAGCCTGTCCTACTAAGCTTTCTCCTGGCTGAGATGTCCTATAGTTCCCCCGTTGATGTGGGGATGCTGCTTGTTTATTCAACACCGCTCTGTGTAAGTTGTTTTATTCAAGCGTTGGTTTCCCATCAAGGTAGTTATGCCATGTTTCTGATGGCAGTTCACGTTAAAGCCTCCTTGATTGGCATAGTTTACAAGAAGGTAGGTGGATGATGCGTTTTTGCCGCTTAAATGTCAAAGTAAGTCAAGCTTAACCAGCAAAGAAACTGTGAATAGATGTCGCATCTGTCATCTGATAAGCGAATATGTATTAGGCTAAAACCTAAAAAATTTTACCCATTTTATAATTAACAGCTATTTTCTTTCCGTTACCATTACAAGACAGATTTTTACTGATAAATCTTTTGCAAACTTTTATTTCTCACGCCCATGGAAACACTGCCTACTGATGGTGGATGGTATGTGTGATACGCTAAGAATTTTTCAGTATGCATAGGCTTCTTGTATAAGCCGATGGTTAGACATCAGCCAAATTCTCTTGAGACTGCAGTGTCGAAGGAGGCGAAAACGTAGCGTTTCCAGATTTCAGAGTTGTGGGATCATGCGGATAAAGTTATTACTTGCTCTTTTAAACTCTCAATGTTTAGGTTCGCAATAACAGAGGAAACCGGACCGTAGTCGAGACATCGTGATCCACGTCGAAAACGATTACACTATGAGACAAACAATTAAACTTCTTTTACAAATGTCATGATTATCATCAATTTTATCTTGTTGCAACTGAACAACTTTTATCCACATTTCTTTTTTGCGGGTGTGATAATACACAAAATTCAAAGTTGAACTTCACCTTATCATTAATTATCTTGTGCCTTTTCCTTTTCTTGCAGATTCTGAACACGCGCCATCATATTCTTGCCGAAAGAACTTCAGGGTATTTGATAAACTTGATCTCTAAGGACATGGTCCCGATCCATCAAGTTTTCTCTAACTTTAGATCGCTTTCTGCTCCTCTGGAGATACTTCTCGTTTTCTCTCTTTTGTGGAACTTAGTAGGCTGGCAAACATTTGGAGGTGTGGTCTTTTCAATAGCTCTCATCTTCTTTCAAACGACTCTGGGAAACGTTTTCAAAAGTCTTCAGGACAAGGTCGCCAGGATAACGGACAAGAGACTGCGTCTGATACATGACGTCATTTCCGGTATACGTGTACTAAAAATGAATGCTTGGGAATGGTGCTTTCATGATTTGGTTTCCGAAGTTAGGAGGTATGAGTTTCCTTGCAAAAAAAAGTTCATGCTCTATATACGCTGATAACATCCTGTTTGAAAGAAAAAGAAAATTGTAATCACTCGTCATCAGAGCTGGGAAAACAGCATATAAATTCATTTTCCATCTTTATATTCTCAGGTTTGCTAACCGTGACATGAAATTTCTGTGGCATTAGTTTTTGCTGCTTTTAAGTACAGTCCTCCATTCGCAAAACTGAAATCCCGAAAATTAAAGAAAAAATCAGTCATCAAAACATCGCAGTCCAATATATGCAATATACTTGCAACTTAAGCGTCAGTTCGTGTTTTTTTCTTTAAGACTCACCCAATGTATCTATTAACAATTCTAACAAATTAACTCGGCAAGGTGGATAAATTTAAATACTGCGCCACTAACTTGATTAAAACATTGTCCTTAACCTTTTTCTCGGTTTTTTTCCAAAGACTTTCCTCTTCGTCAATTGTCCATTTTTTGGACGCCATTTTAACCTCAGGCATCATTCACTGATGTTAACTCTCCCTAAAGAACTCTCTGAGTCTCTATGGAATCGTAGAAACTTGACTTTAAAGCAAAGCATCAATTACAAAATTTGAAAGTAATGTTATGAGCGAGATTTCTCATCGTACGTCTCTACAAAAATTAGGCTAACATCAAAGAAATATGAGACAAACTGGCCTAGCAGACTGTTATTGGGAAGTACTTGTCTCTCGTCTAGTGAATCCATCTAAATCGCACCACCTGTCTAACACTATTCTGATCAAATGCCTAAGTTCCAAAAATCTTGATCTTCTGATATTTACCTCTAGAATGGAAAGGCACACCATACGGGTAGGGAACCCTTTCGCATTCCCGCTTAAAAAGGCGAAGCCGCCTACTAACTCCAACTTGGGAATAACTACCTGACTTGCCTGTGAATGTTCTAACCATTATCATCATATTCTATTCCTCTCAGATTAGAGCTCAACATTGTGTACAAGAAAGGAGTTATTTTAGCTGGTTACCTCTCGGCGTATTCCTGTTACCCAATAGTGTCCAGTTTTGTCGCTTTGTTTCCGTTTCTCATGGCTGGGAATCAACTTACAGCTCAAAATGTCTTCACTACTTTGGCTCTGCTGGGTGCGCTCCAAAAACCAGTCACTGTTCTGTTTTCGTATGCGCTTCGCGCTCTTTTTCAAGCATTTACAACACTTGAACGAGTAGAGTCGTTTCTTCTTGATGATGATTGCGATGCACCGTTGTCTTCCACTCAAAAATGGAATCCATCACAATCAAAGGACCCAACTGGCATAAGCGAAACACAATTAAACGAATATCAGTTTTCAGCGGTGGAACCAACTTTTCTGACGAATCATGTTTGTAATAAAGGCAAGCCTTTCCTTTGTTTAAACAGAGTTAAAGCCCATCCAAAGAGTGACTTTTTCAATTTAAATCTATGCATTTCCAATTCTAAGTTGATTGGAATCACAGGTCCGGTGGGTTGCGGAAAATCGACTCTTTTTGATCTTATCCTTGGCGAAATACCATCAGATTATGGTCAAATTACTCATCAGGGACAAATTGCTTACGTTTGCCAAACACCTTGGGTGTTTTCGGGAACAATCCGCGAAAACATCATTTTTGGAAAGGAGTTCATCCAAGATACTTTTGAAAAAGCTATCGAGGCTTGTTCGCTGAAGGAAGATCTGAAGTCTCTTTCCTGTGGTGATCTGACTTATGTCGGGGAACGCGGGGTAAGTTTGAGTGGCGGTCAGCGTGCACGGCTAAACTTGGCACGCGCAGTGTATTCTGATGCCGACATTTATCTTTTGGATGATCCACTTAGCTCTGTTGACGCAAAAGTGTCGAATGAAATCTTTCAGAGGTGTATTTGTGGCACTTTGTCCGATCGGATCCGACTGTTAATTACCCATCAAGCTCGTTTTCTTGGAAAGACAGATCTGGTTCTTTTGATGGACAAGGAAAGCAAGTTGACTAAAGGTATTTATAGAGAGCTTAGTCAATTGGAGGAATTCTGTGAAATTTCTGCAACAGTACCCTTTGCTAAAGCAAACGAAAGAGGCTTTTCTAGTAATCTGGTGCCACACGGAGCTCCGATGACAAAGACTGGTAACTCCTCTCGTTTGGAAATCGAAGAAGAAGATCGCCTGACTGGTTCCGTTTCTTATAAAACTTACTGGAGGTACCTTGCATACGGAGTGTCAAAGTTCTTCATAATGATCTGGGGAGCTTTAGTAGTTTTACCTGAAGGTTAGTGAAATATAATCATTGCAGAAAACACTTGGCACATTTACATATAAGACCTAATCTAGAAAGCAAATCCCGCCATCTAAGCTATCTAACCAGGAGAGATGCTGGTTTAGGGAAAATTCAAGACAGTTATGCAAAACCAAGAGGCAGGAAAGGGTTGGGATAACTTTTGAAAATTAGATGGAGCTAAGAAATGACGAGAATATCTTTTGTTACCGTTACAAATTATTCTCCATGAAAACTGCGGGAAACTAACTCGACAGACCCCTGCCCAGCACAGTAGCCTAACCTTGCACAATCAGCCTCCACAAAAATGCAACTATGCTAATTTTTGCGCGGTGGCAAAAATACAAGGATTTGTATGGGAATAAATGGTAGCACTCCCAATCAAAAATTCTGAAGTATTTTTGGATTAAAATCAAATTTACCCTGCTTAAGTGGTTGTTCTTTTTTATCTTGTAAGATGTCTTAGCTTAGTTCGGGCCTTTTAATCAGCTCGGTTTTAGTCGTATTTCGCCCATTGCGCAATGTAAACATATTTGCATATTAACGGAGGCTCAATGTGCGAGTTTGGTCTACCTGTGGTAGTAACTAACATTTTCTTAATCAATGGAGGCCTCCTGAGATTCGAGTTTCCTCACAGTGATAAATTCTAATTCATGCTTTTGATCCATGCTCCTGTTTGGCGTTTCCTTGTTTCTTCAGTTGATGTCGTCTTCACTTTCACACGTTATTGTGATGTCTTCTAGTCAATTCCATAAACAGATGGTCAACATTGAAGTCGCCTTAAAATTGTTTGTCCTATCCCTCTTAGGTGTAAACAATAACTTCAAAGAAATATCCACCAATTTTGGTCAATTTGTTTAAAATCATCATTAATCGATCAAGCCTGCTCTTTAGCAACATTTAGAATACCTAGAAAGTCTGCACGTATGGTAAGGTCGTATTTACGCACGAGAAGGTGGTATCGGAAATCGAATGAGCGGGCGCAGCGAACGAGTGAGATTTCTGAAATATATGGTGATTTTGTTGAATGTTTGAATAGGTAGTCAGAAGAAGGTTCTGTTTGTTATGGGCTTCCCTGCCGTTGAATAACAATTATTTTGTGTGTGTGCTGAAGTGGTTATAAATTAATTTACCTACCAAAAGAAACTCAAGGGCTCGAAACTGTCCATTTCCTTGTTGACAGGAGCTGTTTTAGCTTCCAGCTTTTGGCTTGCATATTGGACAAAGCAATCGTGGGAAGATCAGCAGAAAGCTGACAACGCTTATGTCTATATCTGTCTAGCGAGTGGCTGCTTCATCTTCGCTTTAACCCGCTCCTTTCTTTCCTTCTACGGAATGATCAAGAGTTCTTCCCGCCTGCATACCGCCATGCTGACTTCATTGTTGAAAACTCCCGTTTCTTTCTTTGATGTGAATCCAGCTGGTCGTATCTTAAATCGCTTTGCTAAGGACGTTGGGTGTATGGATGAAGTGTTGCCTTATATCCTTTCAGAGTCTGTTCAATACGTTATGTTCACCATTAGTATTTTGGTTTTGATATCTGTTGCTAACATGTGGATCATTGGAGCAAGTGTGCCTTTCACAGTCCTTTCGCTGTATGTTAGTAAACGCTATATAATCACAGCACGTGAGATCAAAAGAATCGAAGCCATCACGAGCAGCCCAGTCTGCTCACACGTGACAGATACAATTCAAGGCATCACGACGGTTCGTGTGTACAAAAGAGAAGGAGTATTCCTGGATCGTTTTTACAGGTAACTCAAAGCTTTATAGTAAGATCGTCATTAAATTAACTTAGAAGGGTTGGGGGTGGGAGTGGTCGGTGCATGGTGATACAGATTTCTTTTAAACCTTTTGACGGAGAATTTCGTTTAATTTAATATCATCAAAGGAAATGCTTGAATACAAAATTTCTGCGCTGTTTCTACTACCTGAAGGCTGATTTGCAGTTGTCATCTGATCTTTAAAATCATTACTTTCTATTTTCAAAGCAAATTTTAACTTTCGAAGCAAACAATACTGTCGTCAGTATGTTTTACACTCATAAAACACGATCATCATTCCTGTTTTTTCTGTTTTATTCTGCTTTGTTCTGTTTTGTTTTGAACAGGAAACTATATATACTATACGAGCGATAGCTGTGTTCGAGTTTCATCACATACATACTTAGGTGATGATGATCTAACTTAGCGTGAAAAACTTAAAAACTCGGCCTGACAGTTTATTTCGTTTTCCGTCCCAGCTCACGTTATAATTTCGTCAGTTACGGCGCTTGGTATGTTTACTAACTTTTAACTGGTGCCTATGTTGCTACCTGCCGGGTCGCTCGTTCTTATATTTCACCTCCTATTTCCGTGCACTTTGTGCTATTACCTGCAAGTTTTTCTGTATCAATTGAAGCCAAGAGCTCGGTTTTATGTTCGTGTTACAGGTCACGCAAGACTTATCGATCAATTAACAAAAATAAGCTAGCGAAGTCCGGGAGATGGTCGGGCATTTTACAAGTTGGCAGATGGCAGGACTGCTTTACCTGACTGAGCTCCGTATTTTGTACTCTGATAAAACATGCTTTTTCAACCAATGAGAGCGCACGTTATATTCGAACGTTATTATAATATGGATTAAGCCACTTTATCTTTGTCATATAATGGTTTTTATATTGTAACAAAGTTTTTTTTTCTTAGTTATCAAGATGCAAACAACAGAGCTTTGTTCTGCTATACTGCTTCCCTCAAGTGGCTTGGTATTCGCCTCGATTCTCTAAGTTCAGTCCTAGTTACTGTTGTAACTTTAGCCGGCATTTTTCTTTCTGGTGATACAGGTAAATGACTTATTCTCTTTAATTTCTAACATATGTCGTAGCCATTCTTCGCTTAGTGCTTATGACTCAAGGAGAATTCTTAGAAGATCAATATATACAGCGACGAGTGATAAAAATAGTGAAACTGTCTTATAAACTAGAAATTCCTTTCAAGCTCTTTTTGATATAAAGACCCCAAAGGGCAAACCACAATATATTCTCGGATTCTTGCAGATCAGCGGCTGATATTTCTGCCGTTCCTCTTCCTCTATTTTCTATCGGTAGGAACTTTTCAATTTTAAGTGATATGAGAATTTCTTCTTTCTGCCAGTATTTTATTCTTCGTTAGAGAAGGATCATCCATCTTGGCCTCAGAGAACTTCACGAATCTATCGCTAGCCATTTATCACTGACCGTTTCTTCAAGCAACTGCTCATTGCATTTAACGTGTGGTGTGTTTGCCAATAATTTAATTTTATTGCATTTTCTCAGCTTTATCAGGCTTATCAATAAGCTACTGTCTGCAGCTCACCAACACAGTTCAGTGGATGCTGCAGGCCATCGGAGAAACGGAGAATTACATGACGTCCGTCGAACGAGTTTTGAGCTACACACAACTTCAACCGGAGCCAGGCTACGATACAATTATCCCGCACGCTCCCAGAGATTGGCCTGAAAATGGTTGCGTCACTTTTCGAAACGTGTCTTTGAGCTATTTCCCAGGGGGTCCTCCTGTCTTGAAAAATATCAGCTTTAGTGCCGTCGCCGGTGAGAAAATAGGTATTGTTGGACGGACTGGCGCTGGAAAGTCGTCGCTTATCGCTTGCTTGTTGCGCATGCCTGCAAACACCGAAGGAGAAATCATAATCGATGGCATTTGTGTTGCTGATCTCAACGTCCAGGATGTTCGCACCGCGATTGCAGTCATTCCTCAGAGTCCTTTCCTCTTCAATGACGTGCTTCGTCGAAGTCTTGATCCAGCTGACAAATTTACTGATGAAGAGTTATGGGACATTTTGGACAAAGTTAAGCTGAAGTCGACTGTGGTTAATAGAGATGGACAACTTTACTGTCACGTGACAGAAAATGGAGCTAATTTCAGCGTTGGAGAGCGGCAGTTGATCTGCTTCGCTCGCGCTCTTTTGTTCGGTAAAAAAGTTATTGTAATGGACGAGGCAACATCCAGTGTGGATACACAAACGGATGAACTGATACAAAGTATCATTCGTAAAGAAATGAATCACTGTACTGTTTTGACAATTGCACATCGTCTGAGTACTGTATCTGATTATGACCGAATAATGGTGCTCAGCGAAGGGAAAATTATCGAAATGGATTCTCCTAAGGTTTTACTGAGCAATGAGCTCAGTTATTTTTACCAGCTATATCACAGTGTGAAGTCCTAAAGTTTTCTCTGAAGTACGATCATGCCAAGTAAGATTTCCGCTTAAAACAAAGGTTAGAAAGCATACAGGTGTGAACTACATGTTGTCAGTAATTATATACCGTTAAAAGGATTTTTTATACCAATCGACCCTCACCGAAAGTTTGTATTGGAGAATTTCTCTTAATTTTTTTCGCAGTAAGATATTTTTTTATTAATCTCAAATCGATAAAGTTTGTTGATCGTCATAAGCATGTAGATAATGACCAAAAAAATCAAAGAATTTGCGTTTTGGTCATTTTGAGTTAAAAACCAAAGTTGGTAGAATACGAAGTTTTTTTTTCTTGTCACATTGTTACACAGCTTCGTCTCAGTTGCCATGGTGATTATAGGCATTTCAGTGTTCAGTGTAATACTCTCATTAGAGAAAACAGTAGTGGATGTCTGTAGACTGCATACACTGACAGTTCATCTGTTTTTACTTTTTCTTAAGTTTACTTGCGCAGTTAAAATTTTTCGTCTGGACTTAATGTCTTGCTCGAACTGTTTTCTTAAGATTCTGCAAACACGATAGCTAATCATTACAAACGATATTCTGGTATTGTGGTGCGATCCACTGGTTACTTTAATCGTTTTGAAAAGAGCGAGCGATTTAAAACTCTATGGGTGTCTTCTCAGTGGTTCTTTAATCTAACTACAAGAAGAGAGATTGTGCATAATGCTTTCTTTTAAAAGAGAAGATAATCGTCTATGGGAGGAGGGAAGGATTGGTGTATTCGATTACATCTGGACATGCAATGACCGTGATGACCCGCTGTAAATTTACAAGAAAAGTTCATAGCTTAAGTAAGTAAGAGGGGAAAGAAAGAAATATAACTAGTCTCGACGCATAAACCTCTGGGGATGCTCTGCTGAGAAAACTCTGTGCGTCGTTTTAAATGTAAGTGACAAATATTGTTCGATCTTTCGACGTACTCGCACTACCCTGGAGACATTTTTTGTCACGTAAATCCAGGTGTAAATTACGAAATTTCGTTAATAAAACGAGTAAAGGGAGTTCAGAGAGTTAATTAATCCACAAAAAAACTAACTTTAACCCTGTTTAGCCAGTTTTAGACTTCTTGAGAAGCCGTTTAGAAGTCAGATGGATCTCCAATTGCCCTTTTTCATCTCGTTATCAGCTGAAGTTAGCTTTATGTATTGTGCACGACTGCAACATTAAAATGCTATTTTTTTGTCAATGTTGTTATTGTTACTCAGCATAAAAAAGAAAAATTAGAAATTTAGAACGTTATATGCATATTCTCCCATTTCACATCTATCAGACTTATAATCCATACACAGGAGCTTAGGATCTAGATTATCCTACCCACAATTCAGGTACATGCTATCTTAATAGCAAGCGTCAGAGTTTAAGAGACCACTTCACCGTCATTAACTTGGGTTTGTTCTCTATAACAATGCTGGTGATATTGTAATTATTGATTAATCAGTGAAAACAATCAGCATTCGAAGTAACCAATTGACGCGTTTAGTTTCCCTTTGCTCAGAAGTTTCTCCTTCAACTACGTATCATGAAGATAACTGAAAGGTGCTGCTTTCTTATTGATTTTCAACTATTGATTCTGGTCTTCGTCAGTCGAACTCGAGGTTTGAAAAGCTACGAGGGGTGAATTGGATAATTTGCTGAGTATTGAAAGTAAGGTTTATCAGTTGATCGCTCCATCAAACAGGTAAAGTTTTGCTTTGCTTTTCATATAGTTTAGAACATGATTCGATGGACTAATCTAAATAGCTTGATCCATGTAATTTCTATTAGAGAAGGCAATTGATAGTTAAACGTTTGAAATTCTCAGCCAATGGGTTGCCAGTCAGCAGAACCATGGCAAATCGTTTACTTATAGCTTATGAATCCTGTTGGTACTCACCGTAGATGCTAACTCTAACCAAATGCTCTAACAGAGAAATGAGACAATATTTCCAATTGCATTCATACGCTTAACACTCATTTCTCTAAGACATAGTGCTACTTAGCTAGTATCTGATACGAAAGAATCAATTTGAAACAGACGGCTGACCTTAGCCGCGCCTATGCTAATTCTGATTGTATCTGGCGTATGACATGACAAAAAAAGAAGCCTTAAACAAAGAGAACACATCATTGAAGCTCGATAGAGGCACGAGTTGCCGGTAGACACTATGCTTGATGTTTCAGATGTACTCACCGTTCTTTTGCCTTCTTGGGATAGCTTTGGAATATTATAAATCCTATTTTCGTCACTTTTGTTTCTGATTTTACTCGTTATGAAACTTCATGACCGACGGTGCTTCCTTTTAAGAGTGCGCGCTGTTCTCGTGACCAGTGATACCAATTTTTTATCAGTGATGTATCCATCTTCTTCCTTAGCCACAAGGTCATACGAGTTGTTCCACGGTCAGATGAGGATGTCTTTTCTTTGAGGAATTTGCCGAAAAGTCGGAAGAACGTAAGTTTTGGGAAGTGATATCCTCTTTTTTGTTAGTAAATTATTTCATGTGCTGGCTAAGGTAAGATTTGCAACCTGAAACAATAATAATAATAATAATATTTTTTTTTCGATTCGTGAGCGGGCGGTATTCTACAAATCCTGCAGTCTGATTGGTTCCGAGAGCAGACAGAAATCTCCTAAATCCCTGAGTCTAGCTAGAAAAAAAAGCGTGTCGTTTGATCTCAGTTTCTACAAACGCCATTTCAGTAAGCAAACAAACACACTGAATTCACCTAGAAGGTAATATAATATTATTAGCTGAGTTAATAACGTAAATTGGCCACCATTAAGAGTTTCAAAGCTGACGTTTCAAGCGTTAGCCCTTCGTCAGAGCGAATGGAGCCCAGGTCGGTCCAAATTGGGAAAAACTGTGCCCTCTGTCTTGAGTACCGCCAGAATCCAAGACCTCGAGCACATTTTTTCCTTATACGGACCTCCCGGCTGGTGAATAAAATATATATCACGTGTAACAAGCATGTGGATTTATCGTTTTGTTGCAGAGATCATTTTTAGCAGCTATATTATTTAGTTTGGTTTTAGTGATTGACTGTTGACAAACTAAAAAAAAACCAAACAAAAGAAACTGCCAAAAAATACGAAAGTTAACCTGTGGTGCATGTTGAAGCAATTGCTCAAACTAAGCCTGCAAAAATAAACTGTGAGCTTCATGAAAGTTACACGGTGAGACCAAAAGTACAAGCGTCTTCAGGGTGCCACATTATAGTTTAAGTTTTATTTTCCTAACAAGCAAACAATTTCAACTTTATTCAATATTATTAAGCCCTTAATATACTCATTCACAATTAAAACTGGATTATAAGATCTTCATGAACAAGAAAATTTATTAGGCGATTAAAAAGGAAGAGTGCTGTTAGATTTCCGAAGCCGAGGGCTTAAATGGTACAGGTCAACGAAGCCAGAATGTGTAGTTGGATTAACGTTGAGTTTAGCATAGGTAGAAGGTTGATCAGTTTGTTTTAAGAATTTGATCGGGGAGAGAGGTGCATATTCACTTAGCTTCAGATTAAGTCGAGGATTTCCTGGCTCGTCTCGCTGAACTTTCTCTGTATAAGAACACGATAGCAATCGACGCAAGAGAGATGATCGATGATCAAGATACATGTTGTCACGGAGACAGCGATTTCGACAACTGATATCACACATTGGATGAAGTAAAATGGCAGTAAGGAAAAATTCTCGATTCTCGATTTATTCTCGAGAATAAATTGAAAGAATGCCAAGAGATTTTTGACTCTAATCCGACAGAAAATAACGCTGTACAGCTGGAAACGATCAAATCTGAGTACAACTCACTGTATGATTATATTATTCAAGGTAATGTTATTCGTTCTAGAGCCAATTGGAATTTGATGTAGAAGTATTTGTACAAATTAGGTTTATATTATTATATAACCACAACATAAATTAAATCTAGCCGACTGTGAATGTAATGTAACGCAGTATTTCGTAATTAGTGTTAGTGAGTAGCGTAAGCGTTAGTGTAATTAACTTTGTATTTGTTTGTATTACTCTAGTATTTGTGCTTTAAGTGAAAATAAAAAAAATGTTTAAAAAAAAAAAAAAAAAAAAAGGAAAAATTAAGAAACTTATATCTCAAAGAATTGTAGTCTTATTCAACACCAAAAAGCAAAAAACCAAAGAACGATAACGAGAAAGTAATTAGTTAAGGAAAAATGGCACGAAATGGCAATTCTATTCCCTATATCGGGAGAGTGGGGCCAATACTTGTAAATGTAATACTTTGCTTCTTCATCCGTCCACAAATCCATTTACTTTTTTCTCAGCGGGTACGGTGACGCATCCTGCAATCTGATTGACTCTTAGTGCGGTCCAGATCTTCCTATCTCTGCCCACGGGCAACCGTAACGCTTTCCTAGGTTGCCGAGTACATCCCTTCCTCCGTTGCCATTTTTCATAAATATATCCCGTTTCGCTGACTGGGAATATTTTCAAGCAACGAATTTTGAGCAGATCAAGCCGATTAATAACTTTTTAATTCTCTCTCTCTCAAATAACTTTAGTTTCCAGTAAAAAATTGTCTTCGAAATGAAGTTGTTGTAGCAAACCGTGTTTAATTAACTTTAATTCTTCACAAAAAGTTACTAAAAATGTTGAATTCTGAAGAATTTTTTTACGATTGAATTAATCGATGCAATTTTATTCATTTAATATCTGAATTCTCTCAAACAAATTTTTCGCTGTAAAAGGGTGAGCCAAGTTTTCAGTCCTTTTACAAATACGTTTTCGGTAAGTCTTTGCAAGTCTGTTCAACTTTGTAATTTGTACCGTAAATCGCACAACAAAAAGCGAAAGAATTCAACGGAAAAACAGGTTTCTGTTAATGGGAACCGAGTTGATCAAATCCATTGCGTTTTGGCATTCCATCGGAGTACCAGATTTTATCTTGAGCGTTATCAGGGGCGGTTGTAGGATTCCCTTTATTTCTACGCCGCCACCTTACCATTACAAGAACAATTCATCCGCCTTAAAAGAACCGGGTTTTGTTACTG